GTATAGGACAAGCTAGCATCTGTGAAGAATCAGATCAGCACATGGACACTGGCACACCCTGCAACAATGAAAACTTTGTCAACAAGCGCATTTGAAGATCTTAAGGAAGAAAGCCATGCAAGCTCTAAGAAAGTTAGAACATCAAGAAATGTAAGTGACAAAGCAGAAAAAAACATTACATWTGAAGACTTGTCTTTACAATGCTTAATGACAGAAAATCAAAATCTGACTGAAGAAATGATGCTAATTAATGAGAAAACATTCATTAATACRGATCAGACGAAATTAATGATAAATGCAAAAGAAATAAATGAAATAGAAAAGCAGTTACAAATTCTAAAAGAGCAAGAAGAGGGGATTAAGGTGCAAACAAGACAAACTATTCAGAATGTAAAAGAAATAAGTCAAGAGACGAAAAGGGTTATTACAGAAATAGAGCTGCAGAGTCAGAGACCAAACACGGAAATAAAAGATACTGAAATGGGAACTGTGGAAGAAGACAGCATTACACTGATTACAGAAATAAAACCAAAAAATATTTTTATGGAGAGCAAAAGTGTTCTCAAACAGAAAACCATGCAATTTCAAAGGCAAGATGAAGAAAGTAGTGCCAATATTGAAGAAATGTCTGACTGGATGAGATTAAATATTGTCAAACAAAAGCAAGGTATAAAGTCACAAAATGATCTCAAGTCACCTTTCAAGCAGACAGATACATGCTTGGATGTTAAAGACCCTAGAAGCACCGAAATAATAAAACTCAAAGAAGAAATTTATAAAACACAAGAAATCATTAAAATGATAAAATTGGAATTGGGGTGCCAGGATGAAATATACAACATTAACAAATATTGTTTGAATAAAGAGAGCAACATTACRGGACTGCTGCAAGACATGGAAGAATTTCAAGGGCTTTTAAATAATTTTAAATCTGCAATAATGCATAGTAAAATGCATCTAAAAGAAAGCTCAAGCAACTGGAAATTTGCAATTAACAAAAAAATGAGAGTACTAGATTACAGATTAGAAAAAACATTAAGAGAGAGAGATGAATTAGAAATATTCAAAGTAAAAATGCAAAGACAAGTTGAAGATATGCAACACATGTGGGAGAAAATTTCCAAATGCAGAGGTAAGTTAGAAAAAATAGCTGCTAAAATCAAAGCGAAAGATGAAAAAATAGAGCACGATAATGGAAAAAGTGAAGTAAAGCTAAAACTGATAAATAACCTAAACAAGATGATTAATGATTCACAAAGGAATCTGGAAATAATTAATCTTTTAAGATCAAAGTGTAAGGACAGTATTGAGATGTTCAAGCAAGTAATCAGGCAGGAAAAGGAAAAACAGTCTGCCGCTGAACCAAAAAAGACAACTGTGAAAAAACATTACATTATTAAAACTAAAGCAGAAAAAGACAAATTGAGGCAAAAAACTAAAAAATGCGAAGAAAATGTAAATGAAACCTTGACACTTATACCACAMGAGGAAAAACAAGAAGAGGTCGTAAAAACAAGAATGGTATTTTCCAAAAAGACAAATAGTGTTGAGCATCAAAACCCAACAAAAAGTGAAAAAGTCAAACAAAAGACAAAAACAAAAAYGACTGAAGTACTAACAGAAGAAAATGAAACAGAGGATGAGGTTATGGCATTACCAAACCAAAAAACTCTTAAAGAAGATCTAACAAAACAAATAATTGAGACTTTTGAAAGTCAGAAACAAGAGCTTACCGACGCAATGACCAAAAGAAAAATAAGTGAATTGGAGGTGCTAATGTCAGAGCTGCAAATGAAGAAAAAAGAAAGTGAACAATACTTAAGAAAAATAAGAAGAGAAAGGGCACAAAATGAAAAAGTGCTGACTGAAATAAAACAAGCGAGGGGAGAAACAAAAAAGAAAACAAGAGTCTTAGAACAAAAACTAGAGACTATCAGAAAAGAGAGAGATGAATTAGAAATGTTGAAAATAAAATTGAAACAATTACAGACCAAGCATGGTGAAGATATCATCCACAAGACTGCACTTCACTGCATTTACACCGATGATCAGGAAAAATTACAATTAAAAGGAGACGTAGAAAAATCCACTGACAAAAACATAAAACATATGAATTCAGATGTAACTGATAATCTAACTGAAATAAAAAATGTACAAGAAAAGTTGAATGAATTGACACCAACAAAAAACATACAAGCAGCACTTCAACTCATTCAAGAAAAGGTTGCTCAAGACATACACAACAAAATG